CTTTATAGTAATTGTGACAGAATGCACAAGACCCTCAAAAGCCCAAGATAGACCAGCTTCAAGCAGTTATAGGAGAGTAGGACACAAAATTCTACCCCTAGCCAAGGGACTATTGGCAATTGTTAGCTACGGCAGAGGAAAGACCAATTTTCTCTAAGAATGTAGTTTCTGATAAGTCAACCACACTCTACTGGAAGACCACATGTATTTGGGCAGCACAAATTGGCCTTGAAAGGGAGATTTTTTTTAAAGACACAAAATTGAGTAGTAAAGGAAGAAGTAGATCTGGGAAGAACGGAGGGTAGGTGAATATGCTCCACACATTGCAAAATTCTCAAAGAACTAATAAAATAATTTCCTAAAGAAACGAAAGAAAGGCTGAGGAGATGATTTGGTGAGGAACGAGAATCTGAGTCTGGTCCCTAGTGCCCACATAAAAAGTCAAGTCTGACAGGAGCTGTAATCTCACAGATGGGAGGCAGAAATGAGGTGATCCTCAAAGCTTGCTGGCCATCCAGTCTAGCCACATTCCAGGCATAGTGAGGGACCCTGTCTCAAAAACTAAGCTCAAGAATGTTTAAAGAAGGGGCTAGAGAGATGCCTTAGAGGTTAAGAGCACCAGCTGCTCTTACAGCGGACATAGGTTCAACTCCCAGCACCCACATGGCAGTTCATAACTGCCTGTAATTCCAGTTTCAGGAGACCCAACAACTTCCCACAGACATACATGCAGGCAAAATGTGAATGCACATGAGATAAAAATAAAGAAATCATTTTTTAAAAGAATACTTAAAGAAAACACTCGCCTTATGCCTCTACATGCACATGAAGTCTACCTGCACACATCCATGCACACATACAAACGTGTACAAACATTTTCTTTTAAAAGCCTAAAAGATTATCTGGACAGTGGTGGTATGTGACTTTGATCCCAGCACTTGGGAGACAGAGGCAGGCAAATCTCTGTGAATTCCAGGGAGCCTGGTCTATAAAGCAAGTTCCAGGACATCCAAGGCTGCACAAAGAAACCCTGTCGTGAAAAATCAAAGCAAACAAAAGAGATGATAGACGGGACAGGACAGGATGGGAGGGAATAAAAGAGAGGAGACAAGACAAGAGCAGATGAACGAGGTGGGGGAGAGAGGGGGGAGAACAGAATGAAAAAGATGATGAAGGTTATATGGTACTCTTAGTGAGGGGCATGATGTGTTCCTCCAGCCTGGTCAGTTGTGGGTGGTTCTAATTTACTTGTAAATGATCATATGAGGTTTTCCCAAAGTGTTAGGCATGTGCCTGCCATTTTACCAATTGGCATTACCCCGCAACAAGAACAAACCTGGACAAGACTGAAGACTCCAGGCGTCACTTTCTTTCCTCACTCACCCCTGCCATTACCTGTCACATTGCTCAGGGAGTCAAACAGCAATGAAGCAAACAAGTGTGGCTTTTACAATTGTAAAAATGCCCTGTCATAAATGAAAAATGAATCCCATTATATGACCACTGTCAATGAGCCAAGGACTTTCTATCTGTAAGTAAAAGACAATGGTATTTATTGTAAGGACAATGGTTCATTAACACACTTAGATTCTTCTTCAGCATATTACTTGTCTACTAATAAATAGGTGTGTATCTTAAACAAAGAGAAACCTTGTTATGCAGAGAAGTTAATTATATCTGTCAGTGTTTTCATTCTTAGAGGCACTTTTCCATGTGGGTGGAATATGAAAAGGGATGGAAACTAGGGAGGATGGATTGTGGAATAAGTAACAAGTATTTCCTTTGGCTGCTTTACCAAATATTAAATGCAATTACCTGTTCTGACTTCTGAAAGTTCGTCAGTCCAAGAAGCAGGGCCCGCAGTTGGCATTGATGCCAAAAAGCCTTTTAGATTACTATCCTGTCAGAATACCCACAATTCCTCCAAAACGTTAGCATTGACCATGTGAATGTCTTAGTGTATTATCAGCTGTGGTCACTTAACAGAGAAAATGTCCAATGTCCCTACAGAGAGGGAAGCAGCACTGTCCATACATAATGGATTGAAAGCAGACTCATGTGCCACAAAACGCAATTTACAAATGCACATTTGTAAAAATATCAGGTCTGATCAACTTGCTAGAAAAACCTAAAATAGGCTGTCCTGGAACTTACTTTGTAGACCAGGCTGGCCTGGAACTCAGAGATCTGCCTGCCTCTGCCTCCCAAGTGCTGGGATTGAAGGCATGTGCCACCAACTACTCAGCTTCCTTTCTTTAGTAATACAATATTTGATCCCACCCTGATCATGTCAAAGATTTTAAACTGTCATGCATGTCTGGCATGTCATGCATACAAGCATAAATGCCCTCAGGCTATAGTGGATTCTCATGGTCACAGTGAATGAGTCTCCAGTGTAAGATTGGCTGGTTAGGTTTGAAAAACACACTCCATTCCAGTTAGGTCAGAAAACAGCAGCAATTTTCCAGCCAAACAAATCAAACTCATCAAAGTTGCAACAACAGGCTTTTTTTTTTTTGGCCTGTTTATAAATGTTATAAATACTATAGATGCCATTTCAGTAACCAATAAGCTGTTTTTACATTTTGGGTGTTTTCTATTCCCAAGGTAAGTACAGAAAACCACACTTCGAAGTGTGGATAACCAAGTATACCGTTTTCAAAAACTCATCACAAAACACAGGTTTTGTTTGATTCTTCCTTCATCATGCTTAAGAAAGAATCTAAGATGTCTGATATGGGGGGAGGGGTAGAGAGAGAGAGAGGGAGAGAGAGAGAGAGAGGGAGGGAGGGAAGGAAGGAAGGAAGGAAGGAAGGAAGGAAGGAAGGAAGGAAGGAAGGAAGGAAGGAAGGAAGGAATTCAGAAAAAGCGTTGCTACTTTTGCCCAGACTGGACGCCGATGCCTGAGGACATGTGATGTGGTCTCAGTCTTCCAAGCAGGGCTCTGTGGGTACACACCATCCTGACCACCGAAATACACATTTCTAAAGACCTGCTTAGCTGCCCACTCTCATCTGATTTCTGGCAAGCAGTTCGTATGCTATCAGGCCAGAAGTCCTTGAACTGAAATATTTGGAGCAAAAATCTCTTTGATGTGCATCCCCCCCCCCAGTGATACAGTTCAGTTAACAAAAACTAGAAAATACCTGGCCAGCAGATTTAGCTCCAAAGCTCCCCCTATCCTACAGCATTTCCCTTCCCATCTTAGCTTTTCTGAAGTTAAGTGATCGATATGGATGTGCTGTAATTAAAGTGGTGCCATGTGGTCGTCGCCTTTCCTGTGTTGTTTTCCAGCGTCTCATCCACTCCAGTGGGATGAGATGATTGTTCATTTAGCCCAAGAATTATTAGAAATTTTTTCAAATTAGTGTTGAACTAGACAATTGACAGTGTCTGCAAAGTCTATACTTCCAAAGAATATTTCACAAGTTCTTTATATCCTCTTCCTCCTCTATTGAGACACATCGGAGAAAGTGATAATCGTATTGAAATTGCTGACCTTAAATCCACAATGTAAGTTTATAGGTGATTTTACGTAAACTTTATGTAGCTAAAAATTAGACATTTATTATTGCTGTAAAGCTTCTGTGAGACCAAAACAGGAACAATATACCTTACAGGTTAAGGGTTCTGTTTGTAGTTAGGACAGGTAAGAAGTTTCTGTTTGTCTTATGTTAAGTCTTGCAAGTTAGGTTTCTATTTGTAATTAAGAGGTTCCTGTTTGTCCTGTGCAGGTTAAGGCTTCTGTTTGTAGTTAAAGAATAAGTTCCTGTTTGTCCTCTGTTAAGTCCTTGCAAAATAAGGTTTCTATTTGTAATTAAGAATAAGTTCCTGCCCTGGCAGAAATGACTCACGCCTTTAATCCCAGCACTCGGGAGGCAGATGCAAGTGGATCTCTGTGAGTTTGAAGCCAGCCTGGTGCACAAAGCTATTTCCAGGAAAGCTAGGACTGTTACACAGAGAAAACCTATTTTGAAAAACAAGAAAAAAAATTTAAGATAAAAGAAAAAGTTCCCATTTCTTAGATCTAATGTTAAGTGCTTGCCATCCCATCCACACAATGTATAACCTTACCTGTGTTCCTTCCCTTTCATTATATCTAGCAGTGTAGAACAGCCAACTTTCTCACCCCTGCACCTTATGTCTCCTCTAAAGGGGACTTGAAGAGGCCAGCAGGAGCTAGGAAATCTCAGTAGAAGACAGGGAGGTCTGGGGCTGGATAGGAGAGGCCTAGGTCCTAAGAGGGGTCAGAGGGGTCAGAGTGGTCAGAATGCTTTGAATAATTGTATGAAACTATCAAGGAACAAATTTAATTTATAATAAATGAAACCGTTCCATATTGTATCTTAAACTACACAACAATCTATAACTCTTAACAAGTATTTTCGAACAAAAATGAATACAAAGCACATTTTCTTTTCTTTCTCCTTTTTTTTTTTTTGAGACAGGGTTTCTCTGTGGCTTTGGAGAGAGTCCTGGAACTAGCTCTTGTAAACCAGGCTAGCCTTGAACTCACAGAGATCCACCGGCTTCTGCCTCCCGAGGGCTGGAATTAAAGACATGCGCCACCACTGCCCAAATTTTGAATTAGCATATTTCCTAAGCACAGTATTTGCCACCTTTTGCATTGTTATTGTTCTAAGCAAAATGGAGATGAGGCATGCTTATTGGAGAGTAAGCATTTTGTTGCTCATAGGCTAACACAGCTATGCCAACAGACTATCCCTCCACATGGTGTAGGAAAATGAGTTTAAGCAACTTTTGTCCAGATAGTCAGTGAATCTACTATTTTCAGTAATAAACCTGTAGCCAATTTTCTCTATGAAAACCACAATCATTAATTTTTCCCAAACCCAATTGTTTTTGGCATCCTAATTTCTGAGAACATGCAAGTTCTCATTCCATCTGGACAGGAATTTGTAAAGGGCTCTTTAACAAGGCCAACAGAACCCAGACTTTGCTTCCTGCACAAGTGACAGTCATGTGAGGAACTAATGTGAACCTTAGATTGTCCGGAGAGTTCAGCAGCTGAGTGGGCTATGTCTTTATCCTTCTCACAGCTCGGGAGTCATTTGACTCATTTCCCCAGCTTCTCCACAATTCTCCATGGTAGCAAGCAGGTTACAATGTCTGCAGATCCCATCACTTACTCCAAGGTAGGCACACTTTTAACAGTTTGATTTAACATTTTTCCTTTTATACTATAAAGTGTTTTAATAGGAAATAGCTATGTGACACTGCTTCTTCATTTTCTTAAACTGTGAATAAAGTGATGTCTACCACATCATTAAACATATTGTTTTGCTTTAATTTTTAAGACAAGATTTCTCTGTGTAATCGTCGTGGAACTCGATTTGTAAACCAGAGTAGCATCAAACTCAGAGATCCTCCAGTCTGCTTCCCAGTGCTGGGATTAAAGGTGTGCACCACCATGCCCAGCTCATGACGTGGCTTCCATAGTGATGGTCATGTGAAATCTTTTCATGACTTTGGGAAAATGAATGTCATTTTAGCATCTGAGGTGACACATGCTTGTAATCTCAACACTATGGAAAATGAGGCAGCAGGGACAATAATAAATTCTGTGAGGGCTTATGCTGAAGACCCTGCTCCCACACAAAAGATTTCTTTAGACATGAAAGTGGAATTCCTTAGATTTATTTTTGAGAAAGACACATTCTGACATGATTTATTTTTACTGTAATTAGGATGTAAGTTTTGTTGTCATTTACTGCTTTTAGCCTAGATATAATTATCCTTCCCAGTCATTTTACGTCTTTATATATATCTTTAAAATTTTATCTAAGTTTTGGTCAATTTAAGATAATTTTAAATCTAATAATTAAACACATTTGTATACTACCACTTAAGTATATGGTTCTTTTAAAAGAAATAATGAACTAGTAAAAGACACATGAAAGTTACATCATGAGCTTTGTAGTTTCATTTACTTAAAAACTAAAAACTTGGAATATTACTTTTCCCACTGAAAATCTTTCATACACTTTTTTCCATTTAAAATAAAGTGATTACTTGGATTTGAATTTAAATCACCAAACTTAACTTTTTTTTAATATGCATTGGTATTTTTGCTTACATGTATGTCTGTGGGAAGATGCCAGATCCCCTGTAACTGGAATTACAGACAGCTGTGAACTGACATCTGGGTGCTGGGAATTGAACCTAGGTCCTTTGGAAGAGCAGTCAGTTCTCTTAACCACTGAGCCATCTCTCCAGCCCCAAACATAACTTTTGCAGTGGACCTAAAAAACCAAACTCTGTCACAGAGCCTCCATATAGCTAACTATAAAAGAAATAACTCCTAGACATGTATATTTTCCATTTCAATATTAACAGAATTTATGATCATGAAAAATATATTCATTAACTAAAATTTTTTGTTTAGATATCATAATAATAGTCCCTTTTAGTTCCTCATCAAATATCCTACAATTATGGTGCTTGCTGGACACAACCCGATCTAGCTTCTGCCCCCTTCTCCATCTCTGTCTTTTGTCTCTTTCCTTCTTGGTGTAGCTACATTTACTTTCTGTTCCTCAAATGCCCATCTAGGCTGTCATGTTATTTTAGCTTTTGCTTAGCTCTTATTTATCTTTGGTCCTTGCTGTCTTTAAACACTTATTTGCCCAGTGTGATCCATATATATGTATATATGGTGGGAAGCCACAGGAAAATATGAGTTTTTTTCAATTAAGAACAATTGAAATAACATTGTTTCATATTTTCAAAATGCTACCTTGGTTATTTCTCCTTCTTTGACAGTCTCCCTATCTGTACTGCAAGTTCTGTGAGGTCAGAAGATATGTCGTTAATATAGCAAACAGTCAATGCAAATCTGTTACATGGATGGCTAATCAAACTATACTTTTCTAACAAATCTCTTCAATGAAATGTCCTGCTGATACATGGGTTGGATGCATCCCATGTGTATGTACATCCCTCTGTGAGCACATGTACACTCTGCTGCAACTCTCTGGCTTTGGGTCCCTGCATCCGTCTTCCAGCTGACCTTTGCCTGTTCCGGCAGTGGGAAGTAATATGAGGTTCCCTGGTTTTAAGGTATATTAGTCTCTTCAAATAAGAAGTCACACAGTAAACGCATTGCCTTGTTCAGATCTAGGCCTGTGGGCTAGAGCGAGAGAGTCTTGAAGAGGCATTCCACCGTCTAATTTTCGTGTAACAAAGCACTGATTTTGAAAGTTTATAGTCCGAAACACAGATTGCTCAAATTTGGCAGTGAGACATCTAACAGTTAATTACGTCATTCCCAACGAAAGCCTTTGGCATCTGTCTCTGTCCTCATGATTCCTCCTGCAACTTTGAAACTAAGACTTTTCACAGTCAGCCTGATTTTCCTTCTCAGGGTGACTTTAAATACTTGCAAGCAAGGGTGTCCTTGTGAGGACCTGGACTATTATTTTTTTTCTGAACAAAGTCCTTCCCATTTTTGCTGAAACATGCTATAATTGCTTTTCCCCAGCTGAAATGTGTTTATGTATCTAGTGAAAATAGAAACATCCACTGTAATCAGTTCTCTGGGACAGGAAGGAAACGCTGGCTCTTCCTCCACAAAAGGATGTTAGTTCGTGGGAACACGTACCAACAAGCACCGAGTCTCCCTTAGACTCCTGCCTCCTACCACAGAAAGGTTCAGAAATGGTTTACATCTAATCAGTAAATTCAGCCATTCAAATTTTATAGATACATGTTTTATACTTGACTTTTTAAAATAAGGAAACAATGATTACTCTTTTTAACAACTTAAAACCTAGATAACTTCTCAAATACTTCTACTTTTTAATTTTTATTTTATGTGTATGGGAGCTTTGCCTACATGTATGTCTGTGCATCCTGTGCCCACCTGGTGCCCTCACAGGTCACAATACAGTAGTGAGCTGCCTCATGGGTGTTTGGGTCCTCAGCAAGAGCAAGTGCACTTAACTGCCAAGCCATCTCTCCAGCCCTGTCATATTTTTCCCCTAATACTTTATTAATACAGGCAATTGCAAAAGCAAATGCATTACTTTTATCTAGCATCTTCAAGTCTTCAAAGACTGTCCTGAGATGTAAGATATAACATTCAAATCACTGAGCCCAAATCTCAGATTAATTCCAGGATCTGGTAACATGGCTACCTTAAAAACCAGAACCCAGACTGATAGCTGGGAAACCAGCATAGGACTGTTCCAGACCCCCTGAACGTGGATGTCAGTTTGGAGGTCTGGTTAATCTATGGGGCCTCTGGTGGTGTATCAGTATTTACCCCTAGCACGCAAATGGACTTTGGGAGCCCATTCCACATAGAGTGTCTAGGCCCTGTTCCAAATGATATGACAGACTTTGAAGATCCCCCATGGAGCACAAAGGGATGGGATAGGGGTTAGTGGGGGGGAGGGGAGGAGGGAACTGGGGTTGATATGTAAAACAAGCTTGTTTCTAATTTAAATTTAAAAAGGGGTAGAGGGAAACCAGTACAGTGGAATGAGGTGGGCAGAGGAGATATTTTGGTGAGTACAAGATTTGGAAACAATAGGAGGAGGAAGGAAATGCACAGCAGATGTTTAAACCAAGTCCCCAACTGTCTTGAATTATAGACCCAAGGAGACCTGAGACAGGTACCCTGTTAGCATTCCTTAGCTGTGGGAGCTGTTTGCTGAAGAGTTAGCCCTAGGCATGGGACATGTCTATCACAGGGATTACCTTGTTCTTTAGCTGTGTTTGAAGCCTCTTAAGACAAGCATCTATTATGTGACACAGAGTAAGAGGCACAGGTTTTATTTTGTAAAATAGCTAAGTAAATGAATGTTTAGTTACAACACCAGAGTGTCAGCAGAACACTTGGGATGCATACATCTTCGGTGTCACCTCCACGGCTTAGATCTGAGCAACATGCTGTATTCTATTAACACTTCTGAACACTAGCAAACTTAAGGAAAACACCAATTCCCTGACAGACAATGCAAGGTGATGTTTCATTTGCAGTATGGCTAAGGGAATGGCACTCAGCAGTTTAAGTAGTGGGGAAGCTACTTCCCCTTTCTTTGCATTCGCTAATTTCCATGTTTCTCATGGCACAGACATCTGCACCCATCCCACAGCAGGAAGTTCACCTTCGAGCAAGGCCAGTGCTTCCCTCTTTGGCGGTTTTCTGCTCCAGCTTCTTCTATGCCCCATGCTGAGCCTTCCTCCACCCTGACCATTTTCATTAAAACTCCATTTACCTTGACTGTGCTGGCCTTCATAATTCCTGGAACTTGGGAAGAAATGGTAGAATATTTGTTTATACATAAGCGGTTCTCAACATATGGGTCGCAAGGCCTTTGGCAAATCTCTATCTCCAGAAATATTTATATTACGGTTCATAATAATAGCAAATTTGCAGTTATGAAGTAGCCATGAAAATAATTTTATGGTTAAGGGTCATCACATGAGGGTGTCAAAGGGTCTCAGCATTAAAAAGGTTGAGAACCACTGTTAAACAGCAACATTTTACAAACTAACAGCAATGACAACTAAAAGCACCCAAGTTTAGAAAGCCTGTAACTGTGCTTGGCATATGGAACCCAGAGCTGCTGTTGGCACTAAGGTGATGGACTCATTAGACCAGTAGATATGGTATTAGTAGGTGACAGCGTATCAGTAACTGCTGACCACACAAAGACAAGAAATAATGAACACAGAGGGGACAGGTTGAATGAGAACATGGGATGCCAAGTAAATCCTGGGGGAGTAGAAAGAGTGACTGAAAGTGAAAAAGAACAATAAAAAACAGAGAAATAAGAATTCTGACAAAGTGACATGGAAGAAACCAGGAAGAAAAGGGAGAAACAAACAAGCAACAACAAAAAACCAACAGTGATGGTTTTGTAGAAAGGTCGGGAAGGCAGTGCCGAGCAGGTCCCAGATTTGCAAAGATGAGGTTGCTAGAAACCCCAGTAACTCCAGTCCTCTTGAATATTTGAATCTTTCTTTGCTTTTGCTTTTTTCTTTTCTTCTGTCTCTTCTGTCTTCCTTCCTTCCTTCCTTCCTTCCTTCCTTCCTTCCTTCCTTCCATCCTTCCTTCCTTCCTTTCCTTTTTACCTATCAAATTGCATTCTTAGCCCTTCATGAGGACATTTTCTGAGATGGATATGAA